GAAAGAAGTGGTGTTGGATCTCCTGAAGAGCATTAAGATGGATAAGTCCCCAGGGTCTGATGGTATCCACCCCCAGGTTCTTGAGAGAGGCAAGAGAGGAGATTGCTGGGGCCTTGACCAAGATGTTTGTATCCTCGCTAGCAACTGGAGAGGTCCCGGAGAACTGGCAAGTAACTAATGTTGTTCATCTGTTCAAGAAGGGAAATAAGGATAAACTACAGACCGGTGAGTCTCACATCATCGGTTAGGAAGCTACTAGGGAGAATTTTTAGGGATAGGATTTACGCACATTTGGAAAAGCATGGCCTAATTAGGAACAGTCAGCATGGCTTTGTGCAGGGCAGGTCGTGTTTTACTAATTTGAATTTTTCAAGGAGGTGACAGAGGTGAGGGTAGAGCAGTGGATGATGTTTACATGGATTTTAGTAAGGCTTTTGACAAGATCCCTCATGGAAGGCTCATCTAGAAGATTAAGATGCGTGGGATCCATGATGACTTGGCTGCATGGATTCAAAATTGGCTAGCCCATAGAAGACAGAGTGTAGGGTGGAAAGGTGTTTTTCAGGCTGGAGGTCCATGACTAGTGGTATTCTGCAGGGATCCTTACTGGGACCTCTGTTGTTTGGGGGTTGGAGCCAGTAAACGACTACACCTCCCAGTCGCGAACCATTTCAACACCCCTTCCCACTACTTGGACGACATGTCCATCCCGGGCCTCCTGCATTGCCACAATGATGCCATCCGAAAGCTGCAGGAACAGCATCTCATATTTCGCTTGGGAACCCTGCAGCCCAAGGGTATCAATGTGGACTTCACAAGCTTCAAAATCTCCCCTCCCCCTACCGCATCCCAAAACCAGCCCAACTCGTCCCCGCCTCCCTAACCATTCCTCCCACCTCAAGCCCCACCCCCATCTCCTACCCAGTAACCTCATCCCACCTCCTTGACCTGTCCGTCCTCCCTGTACCGACCTATCCCCTCCCTAACTCCCCACTACATTCACCTTTACTGGCTCCAACCCCGCCTCTTTGACCTGTCTGTCTCCTCTCCACCTATCTTCTCCTTTATCCATCTTCTATCCGCCTCCCCCTCTCTCCCTATTTATTTCAGAATCCCCTTCCCCTCCTCCATTTCTGAAGAAGGGTCTCGACCCGAAATGTCAGCTTTGCTGCTCCTCTGATGCTGCTTGGCCTGCTGTGTTCATCCAGCTCTACACCTTGTTTACTCCTGTTTATATATGTCAGCCAGGACTCCCTAATTGGACCAGGTTAACAACCCCAATCACAGAATTCATATTCTATGAGATCCACCTGGCTGATCTCGTTCCAATCACTACACATTTGGTGGTAATATTCTGTCAAGGATTGAGGATTGTTTTGCAGACTGGAAACAGACAGTAGTAATAAATGGACCTTTTTCGGAATGGAAGATGGTGACTAGTGGGGTAGTAGCGAGATTAGTACTTGGGCTCCATCTATTCACAATATACACTAAAGATTTGGTTAAGGGAAATAAATGTAGTATTTCCAAGACTGCTGATAACACAAGTGCTATTGTGAATAATAATGAGGAGGTAAAGAGGCTTCAAGCATGTTTAAACAAGTTGACTGAGTGGTTGAATAGATGACGATTGCTGCATAATGTAGCTAAGTATGAGGTTATATACTTCAGACAGAAAATCAGAATGGCAGAGCATCATATAAGTGATGATAAAGCGGGGGATGTTGATGTACTAAAGGACCTGCATATGACGCCAGTAACTGAAAGCAAGGATGCAAGTCCAGCAAGCAGTTAGGAAGGAAAATAGTATGTTAGGCTTTATTGCGGAAAGATTTGAGTACAGGAACAAGGATGTCTTACTACTGTTGTACGGGGCTTTGGTGAGGCATCCTGGAGTATTGTAAGCAGTTCTGGTCTCCTTGCCTAAGAAAGGATATATTTGCCACAGAAAAAGTGCAGCAAAATCTCTTCTAGGGATGGCAAGACTACCTCTGAGAAGACATTGGGTTATCTGGGCCTGTAATCACTGGAGTTTAGGGGAATGAGAGAGTTCTCATTGAAACATATAAAATTCTGGCAGGCTGGACGGACTGGATGTGAAGATAATGTTTCCCATTTCAGGAGTTGTTTTAGAACAAGGGGTCAGGATATGGGGTGGACCATTTAGGACTCAGATCTGGAAATTTTCTTTCAATCAGAGGATGGTTACACCTATGAAATTCAGACAATGTTGTGAAGCCATGTGAGTGAATATATTTAACAAAAGAAATAGATTTCTAGACACTGAAGATATCAAGAGATATGGAGAAGGAACAAAAGTGTAGTGTTCAGATAGAGAATCAACCATGATCATGTTGAATGGTACAGCAGGCTTGATGAACCAAATGGCCTATTCCTGCTGCTATTTTCTATTTTCCTACGTTAACGTCGCTTGCCTATTGTAGCATAGTTCAATAATTGTTGTCCAACAAAAATCCCACATATACAATTTTCTAGTTATTCTGGCTACATTCTTCTTCTTGTATTGTAGTATACAATAGACCATTCCAAGTAGAGTTATATACTAAAGAGAATTTGTCATCTGCCATGTATTTTCTTTCAGCATATTCGATATGAGTTTTCCCATTTTTTGTCCCTAATTATTCTGTCCATTGCCCAACACTCCCTGTACTACATTCTTAACGCCTTGCTTTTTTTTTGGAGTACAGTATTTGCCGCTGTTATCCATGAACCATCTTAGCTACTTGCATCATGTTATTATACCAGCTCTTAGACAGGTCAGAAGTCAGAAATTTGTCTTTTTAGGTCATTTTTGTGTTTGGTTACCACAGCGGTCAGTCACTGAACATAATCACTTGGGGGCGCCAATGTTCTTTTGACAACAGTACACAACTTTATATTCTGAACTAGACGACATTAAATTGTGTAGATACTTTCTGGATCAAACAGGTTTTATCAAGAAATTAGTTCATCAATTTTAATGTGGGCTGTAAGATATCTGCTGATTAGAGAGTCAAGTGACTTCAGAAAAACATCCAAGCAAAGCTTTTAGAGAGATCATAGTGATAAAGTGGAAATGCCGGTGTTGGCCTGGGGTGGACAAGGTCAAAAATCACGTGACACTAGGTTATAGTCCAATAGGTTTATTTAAAAACACCAGCTTTCAAATCTTTGCTCCTTTACACCTGAGGAAGGAGTAGAGCTTAGAAAGCTAGTGTTTTCAAATAAACTTGTTGGACTATAACCTGGTGTAATGTGATTTTTGACCTTGACAGAGTCATAAAGTAATAGAGCTTGAAAACCTGGTGGAAAGAGACTTACGGGGCCTAGCGCCAGTGGTTGCCTAGCAACACCTTCTGGTCTTGTTTTTCTGTTTCAAAAGCTTAAAAAAGCCAGAATGAGAAGAAGCATCCAAAGCTAGCAATCAGTGAAAGCCTTTTTCTCTCCTGAAATTCGCTCTTAGTTGAAGTATTTGAGAACCTGATAACATTTCTACGCCTGAATATCTTGACTACCTTGTAAATCCTAAAAAGCTGACCTGTGATCATTTTTCAAGGATTTGGAACCATTTTGGTTTCCATCCAAATCAAAGATTTATTTGGAAAATCTTCCTTTAGTTTACAGCAGTCAACAATTTGAATTTGTCAAAATGAAATCTAGTGTGCTGTTTGTATTTGATCTTTTTGTTTTTCAGACCATTGGCCACAAAGGGTATTTTTCTTTTACCTTTTTAATTATCCTTTCTGCAGAGTTGTATTGTTGTTTGTGATGTGTGCATGTGTTTTGGGAATTACACAGGATATAGTTCAAATTCTGGATTAGAGCTTAGTAGTTAACTAGTTTTGTCACTCATTTTCAGAAATGATTTGTTTGTAAGAAATGGATTATCTTTGAATTCATTAAAGAAACATTTTGATTTATTCTAGCTGGCGGTACTAAAAGGGAAACAAATGGCCATTTTCGTGATTGAATCAAAATATTTATACTAACAGTGGGGCTTGTAGAGTAGTGAGGTTTGATTGACAGTGTCCTCTTGTCCCAGTGGTGACAATAACTATTTAGACAGCATTCACAGAAACTCTTTGCCATGTTAGTGACCTGAGAAATGCAACTAGATTCGTCAAAAATGACCAGTTCTTCACAAACCCATGCTGAACTCTTACTTACGAAAAAGTTCAGTGGTGATGATGGTTTCTGGACTCTTCTCCACAAATGATAATAAGCGTGAGTCTATTGATTTCTTACCACTGTAAAATAGTGCAATTTACAAATTTCACTCCAAAGATACAATTTGAAAGTTTGCAATAATGACTGATTAATTCTACCTGACATTACATACAGATATCATTTTGATCTTTTTCCAATTTTTTGAATGATTAAATCACACGTTAGTTGTTAACAACAAAGTCAATTGTCAAATTGACACAGGATGAAGAAAAGGTGAATTTATTTTCTCAATGCTCACTCTGTTTGCTGTACACTTTAAGCAGCTGCATTAGTTCACGTCTTTTTCACATTTCATCAATTGAAATGCTGTACGAGACGTTAAGTTGATCGCCCTTAGAGGCAGAGGTTTGTTTCATCTCCATCGTGTTTCCAGAAGGCTAAAATGAAACCAATTCTTTTGAAAATGTGAGAAACTAGATTTAGTTGACAACGCATTTGAAGAAATCGCCTGATAGCATGACCAGCCGACTTTATCTGTGAACGTAAGTAGTATAGGCAGCTCTTTAACGTTGATCAAGAGTAGGATCTTGGTTTGAAAAAATACTAAGAGTCAGTGTAATGACTTTTCATAGTTTGAGATTTTGAGCTTATGTTAATATAACAAGAGGATCTAGGAATCCCCTACACAGACAAGAATCCCGCAACAGGGGCGAGCGTGCTGTTTGAGTCCAGAACGGATGAAAGGCCGGGTCCAGAGCAGGGGAAAGGAGATGTTGTGTCCTGGAGATGTTGGGTTAAATATGATGGGAGAGTTCCCCGGTCAGGGTGCGGGAAGTGTAGTGGGAGGGGGTGTGATACGGTGTCAGTTTAATAGTTACTAGTTTAATAGTTATTATGTATCTATTTAACACACTAACTTTTCTTGAGTAACTACTGTATTTATTTTCATCGGAACACTCCGAATTGTCTAATTTAAAACGGAAATTTTTGGAAGTTTCAATGCACAGAGGGATTGCCAGCGGAAAATTCAATTTCCCGGGCGATTCCTTGAGGGGTAGTGTGCTACAAATGGGGATTCTGCAGGGCCATTAAGTGCAACAAGCTACAATAGCGACTGTATAGCCGATGGAAAATCCGGCCTCAATATGACTCTTTTGGAGCTTGGTAACTGCGTGCGTTGCTGCAAGAAACCCCGGGAACCGTTTCAGTTGGCCTGTAGCACACCCCTCTTACAGCTCCACATCGACCGAAGACGTGGACCGAAAATGCAGTGCAGCACTGAGTGCTCGTAGTTTTCTCCTTGCACTTGCCCATTGCCGTGGTTTTCGGTTGTGTTTTGGGCTCGAGGGGTGTTTCTGTGGGGTGGATCCGCGGCGATGGGCTCTCTCGCTGACGATAGGAGATGGACTGTGCGGCTGGCCGTGGGCCTGTTGGCCGGGGCCGTGGGACTTTACGGCCTCCACAAGCTGGTGACACTAAAACGACGGCGGCAGCAGCAGCAGCGAGCTGGCGGCGAACGTCCGTCAGAAAAAAACCCAGTCCACCGAGTGACCGGCCTGAAGATAACGGGTGATGCGCAAAGAATAGCAGAAGGTATTCTTTACACCAAGTGTGGAGGGAGAAAAGGAGACATTTCATTCAATCTCAATAAACCTTACAACTTCCCTTCCCTGTGGCTTAACTATTCCCAGATACTCCTGAGTAACTGCATATTAAACCTTTTCTTGCTTTCTTCAGAGATGATGCCAGACCTGCTGAGTTTCTCCGGCATTTACTGATTTGTTCAATTCCAGGTTATTCATTATGTGGAGGTGCGGGTGTTGGACTGGGGTGGATAAGATCAGACGTCACACGACACCAGGTTATAGTCCAGAGATAGTAGGAACTGCAGATGCTGGAGAATCTGAGATAACAAGGTGTAGAGCTGGATGAACACAGCAGGCCAAGCAGCAGGAAAGCTGACGTTTTTTGAAGAAGGGTCGAGGCCCGAAATGTCAGCTTTCCTGCTCCTCTGATGCTGCTTGGCCTGCTGTGTTCATCCAGCTCTACACATTGTTATACCAGGTTATAGTCCAACAGGTTTATTTGAGATCACAAGCTTTCCAAAGCAATGCTCCTTCAGGTAAAGTGAAGAAAAGCACACAGGCTCAGAATTTATAGGCAGAGAGATCAAACGATCGCACAAATGGTATGAGTGGAGTGCCCACAGGCTGAATAATAGGTCTCTTGTAGATGATCAAAAGTGTCAATAGCTGAATAGCAAGTGAAGGGATGACCCATAATCTAATTAATTGAGGCAGAGAGGTAATTACAAAAAAAAATTGCTGGAGACAAACCAAACGGCTGGAATAACAACATAGGTATAGGAGTTGCATGCTGAGGGTCTAACCAAAATAACAAGTGATCCAAATCTGTAAAGACTAATTAAGGTAGAGAGATCATAACAAGTTATCAAGGTGATGGTGTTAAAATAAGACAGTAAGGATGATTTTACAGATACAGAACAGTGTGCTGGGGTCACATGTAGCACAACATGAACCCAAAATCACAGCTGAGGCCATCCGCATGGATATAGAACTTGGATATCATTCTCTGCTCGGCGATTCTGCATTGTTGTGTATCTCAAAGGCAGCCTTGGATGCTTACCTGAAAATCGGAGGCTGAATGTCCTTGACCACTGAAGTGTTCCTTGGCTGAGAGGGAACATTCCTGTCTGGCGATTGTTGCATGGTGTCGTCATCCGTTGTCATAGCGGTTGCATGGTCTCGCCAATATACCATGTCTCGGGGCATCTTGCCTGCAGCGTATGAGGTAGACCACATTGGCCGAGTCACATGAATATCTGACGTGCATGTGGTGGGTGGGGAATTCGCATATGTAATGATAGTAGTATCCATGTCGATGATCTGATGTCTTGCAGTGGGTGCCATGGTAAGGTTGTGTGGTGTTGTGGTCGATTTTTTTCCTGAAGGCTGGGTAGTTTGCTGCGAATGATGTTCTGTTTAAGGTTTGGCAGTTGTTTGAAGGTGAGAAGTGAAGGCGTAAGGATGATCTTGATGAGAGGTCCCTGATGATGATGAACATGTTGTGAAGAACGTGGCGTAGTTTCTCTGCTATGGGGAAGTACTGGATGATGAAGGGTACTCTATCGGTCATGTCCTATACCTGTCGTCTCAGGAGGTCATTGCAGTTTTTCGCTGTGGCATATCGGAACTGGAAATTGATGAGTTGAGCGTTGTATCCCATTCTTATGAGGGCATCTTTCAGCATCTTCACGTCCATCACGTTCCTCCTCTTCTGAGCAGATCCTGTATATACATAGTGCTTGTCCGTAGGGGATGGCTTCTTTAACATGTTTAGGGTGGAAGCTAGAGAAGTGCAGCATCATGAGGTTATGCGTGGACTTGCATAGAGTGAGGTACTGAGGTGTCCGTCCTTGATGGAGATGCATGTATCGAAAAATGAGACTGATTCTAAAGAGTAGTCCATGGTAAGTCAGATGGTGGGATAAAACTTGTTGATATCATTGTGTAGTCGTTTCAGTGATTCCTCGCCTTGAGTCCAAAGGAAGAAAATGTCATCACGAATCTGGTGAATAGCGTTGGTCGGAGGTCCTGTGCAACAACGAAGTCTTGCTCAATCTTGTGCATAGCTTGATAACATAGGGTTTCTCTACCTTTAATTAGTTTATACACTTTTAGACTATTTGTTACTTTCATTAGACCCTTGGCATATGACTCTTATACCTGTATTGTTATTCTAGCTGTTTGATTTGTCTCCAACACTGCCTTATTTTTAACATTTTGTAATTAACTCTCTGCTTCAATTAATTGAATTGTAGGTCATCCCTTCACTTGCTAGTCAGCTGTTGACACTTTACTCACACTGTCTGATACTTTTGATCACCTGCAGAGATTTGATATTCAGTCTGTCGACACTACAGCCATGCTATTTGTATGATCTTTTGATCTCTCTGCCTATAAATTCTGTGCCTGTGTGCTTTTCTTCACTTTACCTAATAAAGGAACAGTGCTTAGAAAGCTTGTGATCTCAAATAAACCTGTTGGACTGTGTAACCTGGTGTCATGTGTCTTCTGAGACTATTCATGCACATGCATCTTTCAATGCCAGCCTGTTGCATTTGACTCAGAAACACAAATTGCTGGAGAAACTCAGCAGGCCTGGAAGCATCTCTGGAAAGAAAACAAAGTTAACAATTCAAGTCCAGTGACCATTCTTGAGAACATTTGACTACAAGTACCATCTTAGGGAAGGAGCAAATTGTCTACTTCCTGGTCACTGGAGACTGGACGCACTTGGGAAGTTTCCTTATAGTCAATTCACATTTTCGTTAGGATTCTGAATTTGAGTTGGAGACTGAGTACACAGCTGCATTCCCATGGAAATTGAGGGCATACTTAAACTTAACGTAAGACGGATGTAACTTCACAACCTATGTAAGCCTTCAGTCACTTTTGTTTCTGACCTGGCATGACTACCCCCCCTTCTCTTCCCTCTCCCCTCCCCAAAAAAGTGAACTTCAATGAAATGAGGATACGGTTAGCTAAAGTGAACTGGATGGATAGATTAGCAGGAATGACAGTAAGCAAGCAGTGGCAGACATTTAAGAAGGTAATCTATGACTGTCAACAAAAATATTCTAAGACAGGATAAACCAACCAAATAAGGAGCCTATTAAATTGGAAGAAAAGCATACAAGGAGGCATAAGTCAGTCATAGCCCTGAAGACTAGAATAAATTCAGAACCCAGCAGAGGAGGACTAAAAAGATAAAGACCGAGAAAAATAACTACAAGGGCTAACTAGCAACGATTATAAAAACTGGTATTGAGAGCTCCTTTTAAATATGTAAACAGGAAGAGAGAGGTCAGACTGGATATAGGCCAGTATGACATGAATCTGGGAAGATGTCACGGGGAACAAGGAAATGGTAGATGACTTACAGATACTTTGCATCGGTGTTAATGGTGGAAGATATTTCAAACATCCCATTAGTACTGAAGAATACAAGCGGAGGAATTAAGTACCATCACTAGAGAAGTAATATTAAACAATCTAATGGGGCTAAAGGCAGATAAGTCCCCTAGTTCTGATGGTTTGCATCCTAGGATCCTAAAAGAGGTAGCTGCAGTGAATAGCATTGATTTGTAATTTTCCAAAAATCCTTGGATTCTGGAGAAGTACCAGAGGATTGGAAATCTGCCAATCGTGCCTGACTAATTTATTATAGTTTTGTCCAGGAAGTCTCAACAAGAGTGGATAGAGGGGAACCAGTAGATGTGTTATGTTTGGACTTTCAGAAGGTGTTCAACAAAGTACTTCAAAAAAATCTTAAGCCATAAGAACCTACGTTGCTGGAGATAGTATATTGGCATGGATAGAGAATTGGCTGATGGGCAGGGAACAGAGAGTGGGGATAAAGGTTTTTTCAGGTTGGCAGACTGTGACCAGTAGGGTTTCACAGGGATCACTGCTGGGACCACAACTATTTACAATATATATTCCCTCCCTAAGAGCATTGTGGGTCTAACTACAACACAGGGACTGCAGCGATTCAAGAAGGCAGCTCACCACCACCTTCTCAAAGGCAACAAATGGGCAATAAATGCTGGCCAGCTTGCAAAACTCATGTCCTATAAGTGAATGTTAAAAAAATTAATGGCTTGAAGGAATGAATTAAGTGTACCCTAGCCAAATTTGCAGATGACACAAAAATACGTGGAAAAGCAAGTTTGAAAAGGAACATCAGTAACTTGCAAAAAGATATTGATAGGTTCGCTAAGTGGGCAAAAGTTGGCAAATGGATTTTAATGTGGGAAAATGTGAAGTTGTTCATTTTGGGAAGGAAAACAAAAGAATATTATTCAAATGGAGAAAAACTGCAGAAAGCTGCAACACAAAGAGACATGGGTACAAAAGCTAGCACTCAGGTGCAGCAGGTAATTAGGAAGGCTAATGGAATGTTGGCCCTTATTTCAAGGGGGTTGGAGTAGGGAAGTCTTACTGCAACTGTACAAGGTACTGATGAGACCACATCTGGAGTACTGAGAGCAGTTTTGGTCCCCTTATTTATGAAAATAGATTATATCATTAGCAGCAGGTAAGAGTGGTTCACAAGAGTGATCCCTGGTATGGAGGGATAGGTTGAACAGGTTGGGACTCTACTCAATTTCCTAAAATATTTGTTGACATTGTATTTGTCTTTATTTTTTGACTTAAATTGCTTTATTTGGCCTTGTCGGTTTTTGACAAATCGTTTATCAGTTTCATCCAAAAATTCAAAATGTCTCTTCACAGCATTAAAAGATGATGAGGAACTGATTGAAATTTTTGTGTTTTAAAATCATTTATGTGCTATTTCCTCCTCTCCTTCCAGGATTTCTGCATACAAACTCTCCTGACGTCTTAGAACAACAACATTTGCAAGCAGTTCTGGGCCTACTTAAGGAGTCCTCTGATGCTTCCACTCGAGAACAAGCACTGGTGACTTTAGGGAACAGTGCTGCATTCAGTGCCAATCAGGTATATCCAAATACATTTGTCATCCATTTTTTAAAAAATCAAATTTTAAGCATCAGTTCTGATAGAAATATGTTAAAAAGTACAAAATTATTACAATCTTGTACGTAGTGTGTATATTTATTTTTGGATAACTGTCAAAGAGTTGTTATCAAAAACAAAATTCATATTATTTTTCTGAGCTGATGTGAACTTCAAGTGCCTCTACGTTGTTTAATTTAATAGTATGTTAAAACAAAAATAGTACATTAATTTTTGCTAAAATGAGGATGTAATAATTTTTAAATTAACTGGTACCTTTATATTTTCAGGATCTTCTTCGAAACCTAGATGGGCTCAGCATCATTGCAAATTGCTTGTTTGATGAAGTCATCTCTGTCAGAGTTAAGGCACTAAATGTCTTGAATAATCTTTCCATGAATATTGCTAATCAAAAAGAACTGAAGGTAATGAGACATTGTGTTTGAGGGAAAAAAAATCTTAGTATGCAAACTTAACAGTAGGACTGCTTTTCAATGTTTTTTTTAACTCACTGCATACAGCAGTGACTTTCACCTTCCATTCTTGTCTTAAGCAAATGTGGCAGCCCAATCTATGCACATTGCCCCACATAACAAATTAATCAGTCATCACAAAATCTGTTTTAGATGATGTGAGTTGATGCAGGATTGTTGGCGAAGACACTGGAACAAGTCACAAGTGCATGAAGGGCAAGGCTGGTAGGTGCAGGAAATGTTGGATGACGAGAGAAATTGAGGTTTTGGTCAAGAATAAGATGGAAGCAAATGTCGGGTATAGACAGCAAGGATCGAGCGAATCCCTATAAGACTCTAAAATCTGTAGAAGTATGCTTAAAAGGGAAATCAGGAGAGCAAAAATAGGACATTAGATGGCTTTAGAAAATAGGCTTAAGGAGAATCCAAAGGGATTCTATAAATACATTAAGGACAACTGAGTAACTTGGGAGAGAATAGGGCCCCTTAAAGATCAGAAAAGCCGCCTATGCGTGGAACCGCAAGAGATGGGGAGATACTAAACGAATATTTTGTATCAGTGTTTACTGTGGAGAAGGATATGGAAAGTAGAGAACTTGTGGAAATAAATAGTGACGTCTTGAAAAATGTCCATATTACAGAGGAGGAGGTGCTGGACGTCTTAAAATGCATAAAGGTAGATAAATCCACAGAAACTGATGAGGTGTACCCTAGAACACTCTAGCAACCTAGGGAAGTGAATACTGGGCCCCTTGCTGAGATATTTGGATCATTGATAGCCACAGGAGAGGTGCCGGAAGACTGGAGGTTGGCTAATGTCGTGCTGCTATTTAAGAAAGGTGGTAAGGAAAAGCCAGGGAACTATAGACCGATGACTCTGACATCAGTGATGGGCAAGCTATTGGAGGGGATCTTGAGGGACAGAATTTACATGTATTTGGAAAGGCCTGAACACTTATTTGTGAGTGACTGAATACTGGAGTCTGGGGCCTGGAACTGTTAGGAGCCTCGGCCCTCTTCCCCATTACTGCTTCCAGACTGTGACCTATATCATCTGCCAGTGACTTGCCTTTGGTGGAATTGTTGTTTGGGACCTGTGGTTTGAGACATGGCAGCCTAAAGGACTGGTGCTAGCTGGCGAGGATGAACTTGATCAGGTTCTTTTTCTGTGATCTGTGTGAGGGTTGGAGATGGTCCTGGATTTGGGGTGAGGCATAGCTGTGGGGGTAGGGGGGATGCAAGGGGAGCTCTAAAACAACATCCAGTGTGGGGCCCAATCGTTCCTACGTGGGGATGGTTGCATCCTCTGCTTTACTTACTTAACAAAAGAACACCGGGTGAAATGTTACTTGCACAACAGCCTTGGCAAGGTTAGTCAGTGCCTCCACCATTGTCGCTGCAGCAAAGATGTATGGGAAGGCAGTGTTCTTCCTGAAGACTGAGCAGGCAGTGCACCTCTGAGGTCCTTCTCCCCTCACCTTCGCCAGCTCAAGGAGGTGAGGTCGGTTGGGGTACCAGTACTGCTCAGTCTAAGTGAGGCCCACCTGAGACACATTTACTCCTTCCAGCATCAGGTTTTCGTCTGCCTGGCCTGGGAGGACGTCATGGAGGGCATCTTCGCGGTTGAGCATGAGCTGCCACAGGAGGGAGCTACCTCGCTTACGGACACCAGTGAGATGGGAGGAGAGCATCTGTAGTGGAGGAAAGACTAAGCATTGGGGGGGGCGTCCCATCAGGATTCCACAGCTGACCCTGAGGCCATTGGTCCCCAGCCTGGGACAGAACCCTTGCAAAGGATAGCGGTCCGAGGCCCCTCAGGAAAGCGCAGGGTTTGGAACCAGACTGGGGCCCATCAATGATAAAAGCATGAGTGAGCAAGCGGTTTCCCCTGCAACCCCACCCCCCAAGTGCCCTGAAACCCATAAGCAACAAGGATAAAGGGAGGATGTTTGAGGGGGAGGGGGAGAATCAGTAGAGAGATGGAGGTGCTTCTTGTTACCCCCATCCTCCCAAAAAAGGCGCCACTCCTCGAGGTCAGAGAGACAGGGGAGTCCAGTACTAGCAACAACAACACCTGGGGATGAGGGAGTAGCATCCCCAGGAAACCCCTCTCCCTCCTTGCGAGGGAAGGGGGCATGAATCCGGCCCTGCATCTGGACCATGCACTCGGAGGCTGAGGTGGGCATGGCTACTGAGGGCTTGCCTCTGCCACAAGAACTGGAATGGTACCCTGGATGGCAGCGAAGAAGGAGCAGCCTCCTTGCCACCTCCCAGGCCTTTATGTCAGGCACCTCCCCCCTTACTGGGGATCTTTTCCCAGATACGGAGGGTGAGCCAGTGCCGGGAGTGAAGCAGATTTCTGAACTGTTGCCACCCAGGGGGCCCGACATTTTAGTCAATGTTTTAGTTGAGTCTGGCATAATCTTAGATTTGGAGGTCCCTGCAAAGGATCATCTTGCTGTCGACCCAAAGGGTGGGGTTGAGGCAGGGGTGTGACTGACTGGTGACCCCCGACCACCTCCTACACTCGATGTGGGGGAAGTGTTGGGGTCGGAGGTGACAACCTGGAAGAGGACTGGGTGTCAGTCGCTAACTCGGTGGAGAGCGACGTGAACAAGGTCCCCCTCATCTCTACAGGGGAACTCCAGGACTTTTGCCAAGCGGTGCTTGGTCACGGAGACAGAGACCGGTTGGCTATGGATTAGTGGAATTCTCTACTGCTTCTGGTCATGTCTGCTGACGGTAATTGGCGGCCCCAGGAAAGGACAAGAATGCGAAGCAACAGTGCCAGGGATTCCTTTGCAGTATCCTCAAGAAGTGGAAGGGATAAAGAGTCCCTCCACCCACTCAGTAAGTTGGGTTTCATTGTTTTAACTGGTGGTAGTGGCGGCACATACTGTAGCCGTGAAGACATCCGTAGCTAGCCTCAACGTCAATGGGAGCAGGAAGGCCCAACGCAGATTTCGTATCCTCTCCCTCCTCAGGGGACGAATGTACGCGGTGAACCTCCTGCAAGAAACCCATACCATTTCAGAAGACGAAGCTGCATAGCTCCTGGTGCGGTAGGGAAGGGTCTTCATGAGTTACCTGGCCTCCAGTTCTGGCAGGGTGGCTATCTTGTTGGCCTCTTTTTCTCAGCCAGAGATCTTGAGGGTCAAGGAGAGTGTGGCAGGCCATCTGCTGCAACTCACAGTTTGTTTTGGAGGCACGACACTTTGTGAATGTATACATGCCTTGGGTGGGACTTGAGCAGACAGGCTTCTTCAAGGATGTGTCTACTCTTCTTAGCTCCATCGGTGAGGGTGAACTTATCCTTCTCAGGGGAGACTTCAATTATACCCTCGAGAGGTGGGACCATAGTGGTACCCAGAAGAGCTCAGCATCGGTGGGGCAAGTTGAGGGACTTGGTTACCGCTTTGATTTGGTCGACATCTGGCGAAATCTCCACCCTGAATCCATTGCCTTCACCTTTGCAAGGCCTGGGGTTGGAATGTCCAGAATTGCCTGCCACTATATTTCTAGGGCATATGCTGCCTGTGTTTCAAAGGCTTCCGTGCGGCAGGTGCCATTTTCCGATCATAACCAGGTCTGGGTGGAGCTCGTTCCGTTCAGTGCCGGGCGAGGTTGGTGTATTGGTGCTTGAACAACCTGCTGCTGGAGGACGAGCGGTTCTGGGACTCGTTTTGTCACTTCTAGACCAGCTGGAGAAGGAAGCTGGGGGCTTTCCCTCCTTGAGGCTGTGGTGAGATGTAGTCAAAACTCATGTCTCTGTCTTCTGTCAGCAGTATCTATGGAAGAGGTGGAAATCCAGAATTGAGGGGTTGGAGAAGGAGGTGCTCGACCTGGAGTCACGTCTCGGTCAGCTCGATGTGGACCCGGCTCTTTGGAAGGCGTATGAAGAGAAGAAGGCTGCGCTCTGGGATCTGTATCTCATTGGATCTTGGGCGCATATGTGAAATCTTGGGACCAGTTCATTTGGGATCTCGACCGCTGCTGCTCCTTCGACCGCGCGCTGGAAAAGAGGCACAGGGTCCACCAGCAGCTTCTTGTGCTGCTAGCCAACAATGAATCCCTCGTCTTGGATCCTGAGGGCATCAGGGCTCTGAGTGAGGAACTGTTTTAGGGCTCTCTTCTCTCCGGATCCATCCAGCAAGGAAAATCGCAGAGTTTTGTAGGAGGACCTGCTGCAGGTCAGCCCCAAGGGTGCCGGGAGGCCCAAACCCCCATCTGAGCTTGGAGAAGCTGACCGGTGCCCTTGACTGTCATTCCAGGGGCAAGTCTTAGGGACTGGATGGGCAGGCTGTGGAGTTCTTCAGGGCATTCTGAGACATCCTGGGGGGTTGTGGGGGGGCAACTATGCGTAGTGCGTGCAAGAATGTATTGTGACTGGAGAGATGCCCCATTCTTGGCGCAGGGCCATCATCATTCTGTTGCCTAAGAAGGTGGCTCTCCATTTGTTAAAGAATTCGTGTCCGGTCTCCCTCCTCGGCACGGACTACAAAATTTTTGCCAGGGCACTTTCGATTTGCCTTGGCACAGTACTGGACCACATGATCCACCCAGACTAGTCCTACACCATCCCGGGCTGGAGCATCCAGGACAACATCCACCTGGTCTGGGACATGATCCATTATTCCCAGAGGGCTGGTCTGTCGAGTGCTTTTCTCTTCCTTGATCAGGAAAAGGCATTCGACAGAGTGGATCATGGGTATCTGCAAGCATTCAGGTTCGTGATGCATTGTGTCATCCGGATCTGACTTCCGCACGCCACCTCGGAGTGCCTGGTGAAGGTTAACTGGTCTCTGACGGCGCCCCTGCGCTTTGGGAGAGAAGTATATCAAGGCTGGCCCTTGTGCAGCCAGCTTTATTCTCTCTGTATGGAGCCATTCCTGCACGTCTTGTGTAAGTGGCTTTCAGGTTTGGCTGTACACGGGCCAGGGCTGGAGGTGGTTCTTTCAGTGTATGCTAATGACGTGCTCCTCATGTTCGTAGACCCAGCTGACCTGAAGAGGACGTGTGAATGCCAGGAGGTCTACTGTGTGGCATCCTCCACAAGGGGATCAACCGGAGCACGTGTTCAGGATTTTGGGGTTGGTCTGTGGCAGATGGACCCTGTGCCAGAGGAACTCTGGTGCTTCATGTGGAGTACCACTCACCACCCCTACCTAGGATCCCATCTTCACCCTGTTGCGGAATCATTGCTGGCAAATTGAGTTGGAGATCAAGGTGACCAATAGCCTAGCATGCTGGACAGAACTGCTCTGAGTGTTGTCCTGTCAGGTGCGAGTGCTGGTCATAAAGCAGCTGGTGGCCGCCATGTCGTGGTACTGGCTGATCACTTTGGTCCCTCCCCCGGCTTTGTCACTGTCATCCAGAAAAGGTTTGGCGAATTTTTCTGGGACAAGAGGCAACACTGGTTTGCTGCTGCGGTTTTGAGTCTCCCGCTCGAGGAAGGTGGTCAGGTGCTGGTGTGCCTTCACACTCAGGTAGCAACGTTTCACCTTCAGACCCTGCAGCAATACGTTTACATTGAGCCTTCTCCAAGTTGGTGCACCCTAATGACTTAGTTTTTCCATCAGGTGCGCAGCCTCTGTTACGACACACTGTTCCTGTTCATGGACTGCTCTGGGACACAGTTGGCTCGTGCCGGAGATATCCCCTGATGAGAGCGATAGAAAGGTAGAAAGTGGAGTTGTGGGTAGATAGGATAGTGAAGAAGGCATTTGATATGCTTGCCTTTATTGGTTAGTGCATTGAGTATAGGAATTGGGAGGTCAGCTGTACAGGACGTTCGTTAAGCCACTGTTGGAATACTGCGTGCAATTCGTTGCTTTAGGAAAGATGTTGTGAAACTTGAAAGGGTTGAGAAAAGATTTACAAGGATGTCGCCAGGGTTTGAGCTAAAGGAGAGGCTGAATAGGCTGGGGCAACTTTCCCTGGAGTGTCAGAGGCTAAGGGGTGACCTTATAGAGGTTTATAAAATCATGAGGAGCATGGATAGGGTGAATAGCCAGGGTCTTTTCTCCTCTCTATAATGGTATGTCTTCTCAGTCTTGATTATGTGATGAAGACCTAAAAGAGCTTGAGTGCATAACACTGTCACTCGGACAACAAAGCTACCAAAGGAGTAAAGTTGATACTAACTCTAAAATATTTAGGAACTGCACAGTGCATCTTTTAACTCTAATCCAATTCATGGATGAATTTGGTACGACAAATGGCCACATTAAGTGGCTAAAACAAATTCAAAAGCAGAATCTCCAATAGTAATTCGGTACCACCCATAAATCTAGATGACTAGTATGATCTATAAATAAATGCATCCCTGTGCATATCTTTCCTAAGGAATAAGGAACAACAAGGGTTTGAAATTTGTTCTTACATTTTCCAATTCTGCTGTTTAGCCACTGTCAAAAAACACACAATCGTGTGGGGTAATTTATTTTCCAAGTTCTTTTTAATCCTGTGGAAAATGTCTAGCTCTGCTGTCAGTTACAGTCGATGGATTGACTAGACCCTCGTGGCAGGTTGTAAACACAAAACATCTTACCACCACGTAATAGTATACTGGCATTCCCCAGTCCATTGTTGACCATTAAACCTGGTACCGCAGCAAGAGCAGGAAGAGGAAAAGCATTGAAGAGTTGGTGTAGGGATTTTGAAGGGAAAAGAAGAGCAGGTACGGCAACATGAGATAGGATTAAAGCGAAAAGTAAGAAAAAGGGAGCAGATAAATTGTTATTTGGAGTGAAAGGCTTGGGTTCAGATTGGCAGTCAAAATGTGCACACGAGTGAACAGAGGGAAAGTTTGGTTGCTACAAGTCTGGTTAGGTAGTAAGTTAGAATATATAGGATTTACAGATATTAAGCGACCTGTGTAGAGGAGGAGAGAGAGATGGAGAATTTTAGGGAAAGAATGCCAGTACTTGGGGCTTAGACAGCTTAGTGCACAATCACCAGTGATGGACAAATAAAAATCAGGCATTGGAGGAATTTGGAGATCTCGGAGGGTAGATAGGAAACATGTGGGAACTTGCAGTAAGGATTAGAATTTTAGATTTGAAATGTTGTTGGACTAAAGGACGGTATAGATCAGCGAATACTGATTGATGCCTGCATGGGATCTGGTGCAAATTAGAATATTTTCAATTAGTAGACTTTTGAATAAGCTGAAATGTATTGAGAGTCATGGATTGACTGGCTTGGGGCCCTTGGTAGGGTAAGAGAGTTGACGATGCAATTAAATAGAATGACAGCAGAAGTGAATGAAGGGTCAAAGTGAATTAGCTCGAAAATCCAATTGTTAAGTGAAACCAAAGCACACCACAAAGCAACAGTTGCCCATTTTTTTGTTTAATTGAGTGTCTGTAAGTAGGTTCAGTGAATAAAAGTGTCATCTTTGGTCTAACTCAGATGACTTTACCTTGCAAATAATCTCCTTTGGTGCTTCTTTCTTTCCTATTATACTCACACACTTTTTCACCTTTTATCAAATCAATATGACTGTTTTATCCAAAGGAATCATTTCAGTTATCAATTACCTGAATCGGACATGTCAAGCATTACTAGCAACAAATTATCCAACAAAAAACACATTTGCTCATTAGCCGTTGAATCCTTTTAAATTTACCTGTTTAACAAGGCAAAATACAGTGGATGCTATAAAAAGTGGGAAAAAATCGTCAAAGAGTCTCTAGACTCAAAATGTTAGCTTTCTTTCTCTCCATGGATGCTGCCTGACCTGCTGTGATCGCCAGCATTTTTGTGTTTTCGGTACAGATCCCAGTGTCTGCAGTAATTTGCTCCTCTAAAGCAGGATCACTGGATCTAACATTTGACTCTGGTTTCTCTCCATAAATGTTGCCAGATCTTGCTGAGTTTCTCTAGCAATTGGTGTTTCTGTTAGTATTTTGCTGTTTTCAGTCCTTCGTTTCCATTAGTCTTGCCTGGTCTTTGACGCTTAGTGTAGTATATACCAGGACTAAAGCTATTCATAATATGTATCAATGATTTATATGAGAGAACTAATGTAATATCTCAAAATTTGCAGATGACACCACGCTGGGTGGAAGGCTTGGCTGTGAGGAGGATGCAGAGATGTTCGTGTGATTTGGACAGGCTGCGAGTGAGTGGGCAAATGCATGGCAGATGTAGTATAATGTGGATATATGAGGTTATCCACTTTGGTAACAAAAACAGGAAGGATGATTATATTTGAGTAGCTGCAAATTGAGAGTGGGGAATGTTCAATGAGACCTGGGTGTCCTTGTGCACCGGTTGCTGAAAGTAAATATGCAGGTGCAACAGGCAGTAAAGAAGGCAAACTATATGTTGACCTTCATAGTGAGAGGACTCAAGTACACAAGCAAGAATATTTTGCTGCAATTATGTAGTGCATTGTGAGGCCACACCTGGAATATTGTGGGCAGTTTTGGTCTCCTTATCTGAGGAAGAATGCTCTGACCATGGACAGTACAACAAAGTTTTATCAGACTGATTATATGAACAGAGATTGGATTGGTTAGGGCTATAGAAGGAGTGCAATGAAAGTTTGCCAGTCTGATTCCTGGGATGGCAGGACTGATGTATGAGGAGAGGTTGAGTCTCTTAGGATTTATTCATTGGTGTTTGGAAGAATAACGGGTGATCTCATAGAAACCTGTAAAATACTAACAGGACTAGACAGGTTAGATACAGGAAGGATATTCCCGATGGTGGGGGAATTCAGAACCAGGGATCATAGTTTAAAGTTAAGGTGTAAACCTTTTAGGACTGAGATGAGGAAAAATTGAGCTCGATGATCGTACTGAATGGCAGCACGGGCTTGAGCAGTCGAATGGACTACTCCTACCTTCTATGTTTCTATGTATGTAGTGGATTTGCTTACTTACAAGGAGATCTGATGGTTTTTTATTAATGATGCTTGAAATTCATACAGTGGCTAGAAAATTCCATCTTAACATCAGCTCTGCAACACCAGTGGGTAATATCAATCCCTATTCAGCTAATTTAAATACTCCAAGTGAGAAGTGTAGATTCTAAACAAGCTAGAAGAATGACCACAACTTAATTTCAGATGTACCATATTTATGATTTATTATTTCATACAATTGTCTTGTTTCCATGTTATCCTGTTTGATTTCTACTTTTTGAGAATACAGTAGATGATATAGGTGGTATATACGCACCTGTTTGAAGTTATATATTTCCATTAATAAAGAGAGATTTGTGTTATATATATTTTTTGAGAAAAAGGATTGAAATGTAACTGTTTTTCAGTGAAGGACTATGCGAAGTAGGAATTCAGATGATGTCTCTACCTAATTAAATGTATTACAGGATGTTAATTGTCATGCATTTAATCAAATGACTAATGTACAAAGGTTTCAAAGATTTTGTGTTTTCATATTAATTAAATGTGCACTTAATGGTTTTCTTGATGTATTGTTAAAAAAAATGTTATTTGTTATAGATTTGGATCCCACAAATATTGGAGATTCTAAGGACTACCGCTTTAAACTCTGAGCTGCAAGTAGCTAGCCTTCGAGTGCTGACTAATTTCTCTGTTACCAATAATTATCATTACATGATGACCAATTACATTCCTCACTTCCTTAAGCTCCTGGTGGAAGGAACAGAAAAAATAAAGGTATGACTTGCTGACTGCAGCAGTTTTATTTTAATTTATTTGTTCATGGGATGTGGGCATCAGTAGTTAACCAGCATTTATTGCTCATTTTAAATTTCCTTGAAGGAGCTGATGATGAGCTGCCTTCTTGAACTGCTGCAATCTTTGCGGTGTTCGAGATCCCATGTGCTGTTAGGAAGGGAGATTGACCCAACAAATATAGCTCAAATGAGAACAATGTGTGGCATGGAGGGAAACTTGCAGGTGGTGGTATTCCCATGTATCTTCTGCCATTGTCGCCTTTGTGGTGGAGGTTGTGGATTTGGTAGTGGCTGTCAGAGAAGCCTTGTTGAATTGTTGCAGTGCATACCAGTGCTGCTTTTGTGCATCAGCAGTGGAGAGAGTGAATGTTGAATATGTTTGATAGGTCGTCAGTCAAGAAGGTTGTTTCGTTCTGGACTGTGTTGAGGATGATCTTGGAGCTGCACTCACCCAGATAATTGGAGAGAATGCTATCACACTCATCTATGTTATAGATGGTGGACAGATAATGGGGAAACAGGAGATGACTTACTTGCTGCAGAATTCCTGGCACCTGACTTGCTATTGTAGTCACACTTGGATGTTGATCTAGTTCAGTTTCTGACTTTGCTTTTGGCTTTCAGAAAACAAGCATGATGCGTTCTAAAGCACAATACTGTTTATTAACTATAATTTGTACACTTCAAATTGGAGTCGGCGATTTTAACAAGGCAAAAGCTGGACACTGGCAATCTTCCACTCATTCTGCCCAAGAATAACATAGACAATTGCAGAACAAAGGTAGTTTTACTGTGCCTGAGTAACATTGCTGAATTCTTGTCTTTAGAGATCACTACTAGACATCATCTACATATGTTGAAACTGAGCCATTTCAATATATGCCATTCTGTGACTTTTATTGAGGGGGATGCAAACGTGTGTTTAAATAGAGGTTTTTTATGCTGTATGACTATGCCCACTGAGTATAAAGAGCCAAAATTATTTAACCAACCATTATCTAGCAGGATTTTTTTTTTAAGTTTGATGGGCTGTCTGATGTTCTGTAACTTTTTGTGCCTAGTTGCCACAGTCACTGGGAGATGGACTGACATTCAACATTTTCTCCAATACCCAAAATGACCATCTTCCCAAAAAGTTCCATCCTGTATATGCCTTTTTTTAAAAAAGTATCTTGCTGTTTCTTTTTTTTCAGTCTTAACAGTATTTCCAGGCTATTCAGTCAAAGTGGGTATCATCTCTAGTGGGGGTTAACAAGATGGTGTTCAGGAAAGACGTTCCTGGTAACTTCTTTCCCTCTTTCTACTTTAAAGGCATTAAGATTTCTAGGCATATTATTATGTAACAGAACCTGTATTTGGATATGACATCTTCATGTCACCCAAATCTGAGAAACTCTGATCTTCTGCATATGATTACGTTATGTTGTAACACAAACTTTCCTTTTTGATTTCAGGAGTTAGAGCACTGAAATAACTGAATAAAGTTACACCTCAAGGTCTTATGCATATTACATTCTGCTTCCAAGCAGAACACAATCACTTTACCTCAGATGGTGTTTAGCCCCTTCCAAAGTATGCCAGCCTACTTCCTGGTCCTTTTAAAGGGAAACCCTGTTTAAATGGCAACATAATGCAAAATAACAACATATTGAAATAAGGACAAAATATGTAACTTTAAAATAGAATTAGAATGTGCGCTGTTCTATTATAGATTTATATAACCTCAACAAAACAAGCTCTTGATAAGCAGTAGGAAAATAATGTAAATATTAGATTAAAAAATTTACCAGAAACCAAAATTTAAATTGAGGTTTTATTTGTAGCTGAGAGTCTCTGATCAATTATTTATTTGTAGTTTAAACCATACATAAATGATATCACAGGTTTGGTATTTGATGTTTGCCTCAGCTGAGGCAGTGATAGGGGAGCAAGGACTGGTCACAACATTCATGAGTTGGGCAGATAAACTGATCAATATTGCAATTTTGATACCTTTCCAGTACCCCTGCTGAAATCATGAAATCATGTGAGGGAAAAAATTCAGCTTGATTGTGATGTTTTCTGAACTCTAGATAGTCTGTTTCACATTGTGAAGACTCACATGAAAAGTGGCAAGTTACCAGAAGGTGACTGGTGCCTGATGTACTACACACAGACTAGCCATCAAGAGGGATGATGGCAGGAGATCTAAATAAAGTTTCCATAAACGGCTGCCTTAATGGATTTTTATTTGTTCAAAACAACAGGTTCAAATATTGAAACTCCTGATAAACTTGTCTGCAAACCCAGACATATGTCATGACCTTCTTAGTGCTCAGGTAAGATCCATGCTAATGTTTTTAATTTTAAGTCCTGGACTTACACAGGATGAAAATAGAAAATAAATGTTTCTACTCCTTGTCTAATAGTCCATATTGATGATACTAATGTAAAACTTTGGGTAATGTTAGTGAAGATTATTAAGAGCAATAGCATTGTCTCTTGTACTGAGTGGTGCTACCTGATCACAAGTGGTCTAGGAAGGAATTACTGCTGAAATAACTTGTTTTTGGGACATTTACGGATGCCTTGGAGAAGACCTTCCCAATCCAGGTGTCAAAAGATGAAGGGTCGGTCATTTAATTTGTAGAACCCACCTGTTTTTCCTACATGTTTGTAAATTTTAGGTTTTCGGTTGGGAGTTGTAAATTATTTTTAATTTTTCATCATGGACACTAATTATACTGTAAAATAAAACACTCAAATAAAAATGTCAAATTTTACATAATAGGTTGCCATTTTGTTCATTTAATGCAAAAAATGTATGGGTAACTGGTATCATATAGAAAATTAATAAATTAAATCAGCATTTGTTTTCAAGCAAGGAAATATCCAGATATATCTAATATCCAGTTTTTGCCAGAATAAGAATACTCTGGGATCAACTGGACCCTTATCTAAAATGTGATTTATAATCTATGCTGTGATGTGTATATATCATATGTTATACTTTATTTCAGGCACCATTGTCGTTCCTTTTATTGTTTGACAGCTGTGTAAGCAAAGAAGTTCTTCTTCGACTGTTGATATTGGTGGCAAATCTGAAAGAAAATTTGAGTCTGTTGCGGAACTCTGTTCAGTATGACTATGAAGTGGATTCTCTCCATTCTGTACTATTTGGGAATGCAACACCATTTTCTCATAAACTCACAAAGCTCATATTGTACCAAGATAATGAAGTGAAACAACAGATTGCAAGAATTATTACCAAATGATCTTAGGGACATATTATTTGTAGGGACCTATATGTAGTTTAATGTTTTAATGATTATATGAGCTACATGTGGAAGTTTGAATATGGATATTTGCTGTAATTTGGCAAACCAAGTTTCTACATATAAATTATTTTCAGGTAAACCCAGGGGGGAGCTTTTTCCAATATGCAGGTAAACTATTCTTGAACCAGCGCTGGTTTTGTCATGATTGTTTTTGTATTTTTAGAAGTCTAATAGGTCCAGAAATAATGTTGGACTGCAATCATTAATCCCGAAAAGCAGCAATACAAAGAAAAGTTAAGAATCCATTTTGTATCTTGTGATTGGAAAAACATTTAAATAACTTAAAATGCACAGTATCTGAAGTTTCCTGAAGTCTTTTTATGAATCACTGTAACTGATGAGATATTATTAATGATGCTGACTTATTTTTATCTAATTATTTAAGCCACAGTACTGTTATGCCCTTGATGTGGGAAGATAATGATGATTGAAAGAAATTTAAGTGACAAACATTCATGGTTAGCCATGATCGAATGTTGCAGCAGACCTGATGGGCTGAATGGCCTAATTCTGCTCCTATATTTTGTGGTCTTATGCTATTGCATAGCTCCCTGAACTGGATAAAGAGTTTTAGCCAGGATGGCCAGAGAAGGGTAGAAGTGGCAAACAGACTAGTTACTCATTACTTTCTTTGTGACGTACTGAAGATGATTTCAGGATAATGCATACCATTGAGAACAATTATGCACAAATTGACAGAATACAACATAAAGCCACTTCCGTTACTTAAATTTTCTGTATCAAAATATAAAAATCACAAGAAGCAAATAAGCACAGGGAGGCATTTGAATGCATTCAATTGAGAAAGGGCATTTGCTGAAATAGATTTCAAAGCAAAAGTGTTATTTATCAGTGTTAAGACTGTACTACCAAATTCATGTTTTTGTTTTGGAGTTAAGATTAAAGAATTTATAGTGTGTAGGATAAGGATTTTTCAGACATGACTTTGAGCCAGGACCTTTTGGCTCTGTAGCAAAGGTGGATATAGATTGAAGCTTCAATATCCAATCTTTGGATAATAAAATTGCATCTGCGTGTCACTTTTATGTTCATCAAACATTTGCAAGAGTTAAAAGTTAAGTTTAAGAACTACAATAATATCGTTTGTGTGTTTTTATTTGCCCAATTAAAATTTGTAACAAAATACAGTAACTTATGGGCATTTTTTTTCCCTCACAAAATAAGGTAAATGTTGTTCCTAAAAAGAAACAGGCCATGTATTAGTATAACCACTACATTTTGAATGTCATAGAGGTTTCAGGAACAAAGGCAGTTTCAGGTTGGAAAAAAAAATCCAGCTGTTAAGCATTCTCATTTTTGAAGAGAATATGTCAAGTCAAGTAAGTTGGCACGTTTCTACACAGTAAATTAGCCTATATAACAATTTTATTTTACTTCCTTTAGATCAAACTATTCAGGAAAAGTCTCTTTAAAATATATGAACACTTGCAATATTTTCTGAAATCTTTCAATCAAAGCAGTGAATAGTGTTTCTCAAACTATTGATATTAAAATAAAACATTCTGAAGTACATTTTTTGGTCAAAATATATGCTATGTACTGAATGTGTTGGGTTTGCATTAATTTCTGCCAGTTTGTAAGTTGTTCTAATCAACAAACTGATTCTGTGTGATGAGATCCTAGATGTCTTCCCTGTTGAAAATTGCAATGACTGAAGTAGGAACGCAAAAATTGCCAATTCTTGATCATATCTTGTTTGTTGACCTCTCTGAATGTATTTCAAAAGACAAAACCACAGCTAAAATATTTAATTGTAATTTGTAATATAGTTATTGTGAAGACCAAATCTTTTAGCTGTTTTTCTCCCATCCGCTCAAGCTTATTTAAAAACACACAAACCATTTCAGACAGGAGAAAACCTTCAGTCAATCCATCATATTCCATCTTGGTCCTTTTTTGCC